AATAGAAGGATCGCCAGGCCAGGTTCATTTTTTTGAAAATTTGAACCTGCTTCGACGATCCTTCATTTTGAGGGTAAAACTAAAATGGATCTAGTTTTATTTTAAATTCTGTACATTTACTCTCTCTCTCTCTCTCTCTCTCTCTCTCTCTCTCTATATATATATATATATATATATATATATATATATATATATATATATATATATATATATATATATATATATATATATGTGTATATATATATATATGTATATATATATATATATATATATATATATATATATATATATGTATATATATATTTGAGAGAGAGAGTATGCTTGTATGAACAGACTGAAATAGATATATAGGTAGGTAAGAACAAAGATGGAGTTAAAAGTATATAGATATGAATAGTTGAAATTAAGATATGAACTGAGCGACATCGATAATATTCCATTTTAATATCCTTGACCATTTTTCTTGTTAGAAGTTTATTCTTTATTCTTATTTTAAAGGTAAAAATGTTACGATCGAGAATATGATAAAAAGCAACAATTGCATGAAAGAAATACACTAAAAAATATTGAATATAATTCTAAAGATAAACTTCATTTCAATGAACATCTCAACTTTGAGTGGTTATTGAAATGTGTCCTTAATTTCCTTTGTCAAAAAGATTTTAAATTTAATTTTTTTTTATTCAAACACTAAAGCTGGCAGATAAATCAGGTGGTAAATTCTTTACCAATTCCTTGACCCGATGCATCATTTAGAAGACGAAAAGACAGACTTTTTGAACTTCAACAGGCGCCATAAGCATACATTTGTGAAAAAAAACTTCATGACACCAAAATGGTTTGATATCGATTATCTATATCGATAAATACTTTTCCTACTTACTTAACTATTTACCCTACTTGTGTAAATATAAAGACAGATTCACATACAAAGTTCTGTTTTTAAAGATGTGTTCTAGAATAATTGGAGATTATTCAACTTATATGGAAGCTTAGAAAGGCTTCTGCGTCTCTTAGACACATATAACTCTTAGACTGATGTACAAATGATTATATATAGATTGCATATTTATGCTTAGAAGATAGGAGTGGGGTGAGAAAAAGAAGGATAGATAAATTGAATTTTTTGCGGTTTCACATTTTGAGAGTTATTTCAAGCCACAATATATTTTTGATTTAAGGATTTTTGGAGATAATGACTTTCTGATAAAAATCCTACTATTTAACCTCTAGCTCGCAGGGAGATGTGGATTCATACCTTTCCGAAGAATATTTGCGCGTAAGCGAATATAACGAATCCGTAGATTTATAGATAGACAGACAGACAGAAAAATGGATAGAGGAAATGACAGACAGACAGACGCAGATAGATATATAGATAAACATACAGATAGAATACAGATAGACACACAGATACACACACACACACAAACACACACACATATATATATATGTGTGTGTATGTATGTCTATATATATCGATCGACTTATTATATAGATATATAGACAGACAGACAGACAGTAATGGAGCGTGAAAGAGAGAAGTTGAAGAGAGATTACGAAAAACATTAGTTGCAAATGTAAATAAGAATCGCCCCCGCAGTTTTATTCAACTCATCTCTCTTCAGTCTCTTCCTATAATTATCTTTTATTCAACATCTTTCTTCAGACGGAAGTGAACATTTAGTTTAAATTTTCTAGCATAAAAGCCAAATTACTTAAGAACTTGCTGCTTATTTCGATTAGTTTTATTTTCGTAGTCAGTTTATGGCTGTTATTTCTTTTAAATTGCTTTTTTTCCCTCCTTACCTTTCATCATCACTTCCATATTTGTTATTACTTTGTCTATGGAACTCATGATAGCCATTTAGTATCAATAGTGAACTTGTCAATACTGTGTTCTTTTATTTTATTTACAGCATATACTCATGTATGAGTCGAGAAAGAGAAAACGGTGACATTACTGGGTGTCGGGTTTTGGTATCACCAAGGAAAGCTTTCAACATATCTAGTGGAATTTATTAAATGAAGTATTTTTAAGAAAACATTGTCAAAAATGTTTACATACATGTGACCAGAAAAAAAATGATTTGTCTTTGGGTTATTTGAAATTCATGTACAATGGAAACAATTTGGGGACAAGTCTTATCCTAAGATTTTTATCTTTGGGCCGTATTTTCGTAATGAAAATTTGCACGCGCCTCACCAAAATTTATGTGATAAAAATTATGTTTTAAAAAAAAAAAAAAAAACAGAGAGAGGGTTAAAGGGAGATACACTCGAATTTGAAGGCTGAACATTATCATTGGTAACTCTCCCCTCTAATTTGCGGACACTAGTTACTACATTCTTAATACTTGATATAATGCAAAAATATCACAATGATAAAATCAATCAATAATTTTTTATAACTATTTATACTTGGAATCATGCATGCAATTTCAAGTAATCCATAATAATTTTTTTAAATTTTGAAATATTTATTTTTAGAGTATGAATTTTAGAAACTTTCTAAAACTTTTTTTTCAATCATTCTGCCTCACCTGGTAATCCTCTTCCGCCGTACATAGGAAGCGCGACGCAACATTTGTGAACCATTGTCCTAAGGCTTTATTGATTACCACCAGTTACAGAAAATATTAGATTATCCCACTTATAATGATTTGAATAAATATTCGGCTGGAAATGAAGAATATTTCTTCTGAGAGATATTTCGTTTCAATCAAAACTGCTGTAATAATAAATGGTAAACATAGCGTCTTTTTTATTTTAAGGCTCATTATTGAATTAATTATCTTTATTAAAGTAATTCTACGTCGAAGTTTACTAAAAAGTATTTAAATATTTAATCCGTAAGAACAAGTATCTTTTTCTTTCAGAGAACAAAAAGTCTCCCCACCTTTTCAAACCAGGTAATTTTATAAATATTGCCATAGATTTTATTTTAGGTTCTGTAACATGTAATGCAGCTGTAGCAGTCATGGTGTATGTAGACAGCCTGTCATGGCTAATCCATCTTCCTGTTGGTTTTGAATTCAGTGTTTCCCTTCTTCTAGACCTGCAAGGCTCGATAACCCATCACTGGTGATGTGGGGAGAGATGTAGTTTTACCTTTCCCAAGGGTATTTGTGCAAAAGTGAACTTAACAAATTCGACTGAAATTTGAACTTCGCTTATTTCTCTTTTCAAGTCAGTAAGCATGGCATTGCAAGCACGCCCTTTTCAAGGATATAGAATTGGATCGACTTAAATAGCTGATAAAAAGAAAGGGTTATTTTTTAAAATATAAAGTGTCTGTGATAAAAAAGAAATTATATCACTAAAATGTATATTGACTTCTTTATTCTAAGCAGAATCGTTCCATTTGCAAGGCAGTTGAGTGTTTCTCTTTTCACATTTAGACAGTGTTTCCTAATATTATCAAATCTTTTCATGCTTTTAATGATTTCACTGTTTGTTAGCCTTATTTGTTTTATCATTTTCTGAAAAGAACTCTACAGAATTTCCCGTGTCGCAGCAATTACCAAAAGAAAAATGTTGACCTCTATTCATGGATAAAAGAATACGCGCCAAAGCATTACATGCATGTACTAAAAGATGAAGTAACCATAACTTTTTATTTCATTCTTCACAGTGCCGTGTTTTAATTCTCAAATAAATCATATCATGAATTTCAATGATTTTACTAGTATAGAATTGTTGTTTTGTTGAAAACAGCTTGGAGCAAGAGGAAATTCGGGTAAATATTCAAACAATTTTAAGCAGTGTTGAATCTTGAATTTCAGTAAAAATATTATTTTAACCTTGAAAGGGACGCTGAAGAAAGTACTTCGGATGATATAGCCATCAGTGTTTCGGACATACATTTTGAATAATTATTGAGCTAAAGTAACCTAATTAGCATAATTTGGGAGTAGCTTTTATAAGCGTCATTCATAAACATTCAAAAAATTTGTGGTTCCTCTTCAAAGCAATTAGTCTTCAGAAATTCAGAAGTGAATTAAAGGTGAAGAGAGTAACGTTTTAACAAAGAACGTATTTTTATTTCATAAGTATTTCCGAAAGTGTGCACTGAAACTTTAACCATTTCTATTAATAGATGTCTCCGCCATAGTTTCTTATTTCCTTCCCCATAATGCGTTATCGCAACCTTCAAAGAAACAGTGGCAAAAACGGACCTGAAATACCAGTCTTTCTGCGTAATTAGCATATGCGAAATTTGTATGTTTTAGTGAAAACCACCCACAAAAAGCACTTGATTTGCAGTAATGATGACCATTCTAAAATGCTTCATAAGCGATGAAAATATATTCATTTTTGTTACATGAGATTTTACAACAAATTAATTTTATAAAATAAGTTTGTAATTTCAGACGTTCAAAAGAAAATGCGAATAGGGAATATACGGCATTCAGCCATCAATACATTCAGATGAGACTGTGAAAGGTGAAAGGTGAAAGGTGAAAGGTTGAAGAATTAAGAAAGAATCAAACTAATATATTAATGAACAAAAAATTAAAACAATTGTTTTGGTATAAAAGGAGAAAGTCAAGGGTGAAATATTTTATTATGTTCTTACATTCGAGCATTAAATAAATTTTGGCATGTATTTATTTTCTTTTAGAAACAACGGTTGGTTTATATACTTTCGAAAGATGCACATACAAAGTGCGATGGATAAATTGCCGTCTAAATTACGCATAAATGAAAATAACAGATATATTTACAAAAACTACACAAAAATATCTCGAAATACTAAAAAATAATAATGGATCCACTTCAATGTACGCAAATTCTTTTATAATTTCTGTAGTTGTATTCTTTCTCAAACTTCTTCCCTTACATCATTGTTGTTGTTGTTCTATTATATATTGTCTTCTTTTTTTTTATTCCTCCTTCACTTATATTACTTATTATTAATATAATTTCAAGTTTATATTTGCTCTATAATTAAACTAGAATTATATCTGTTATTGTTCACTTTTGTCCCTTTGTTAGAGATGTTATTGCTTTCTTTAACAACCTACATTCACCTTCTTCTCTCAATGTTCCTTGTTTTCTTATCTTTTTTCTTTTCTTTTTCGTCTCCCAATAAGCCCATCGATGCAGCCAAGATGACAAACACGACTCTCCTTTCTCTTCTGTCTTGGAATCCCGATTCCTCCAGTAGCGATTCCAACTACAGCAAAATAAGCAGAAATACTTGTTTAAATAAACAAGGAGGAAACTTTATTCACGCTTTGCTATTATTTCATTTATTCGTCATTGGGATTATGTTTAGCTATAATTCTAGTTTAATTATAGAGCAAATATAAACTTGAAATTATATTAATTGAATTATTAGCCCTATTATATCTTGTAAAACTCTTTATACACCTGATATATGACTAGAAGTTTTTTTTTAAATTCAATTTGGGACATCTTGGCGCGTATGTAGTATGAAAATTTTACTTTGAGAAGTGTGAAAAGTTGATATGACTGACAAACTTATTGTTTTGATGATAATGTATTTTTTTGCTTTTCTCGTGTCATTTCGCATGCCTTTATAAGGTTATTTTCTGTTAATTCACTCCAAAATGAAAGGAATTTATATTTACTAAAATTCATGCAAATTCTCCCAGAACTAGGCCCTTCCATTGCCCTCCAATTGAGTTGACCTTTGCGATCACCCCAAATGTAGGCGACTCGGGTGCACTGTTTATAAGTGCGGGGTCGACATATGCGCTCACCCCGATCACCAAGCCAAAAACAGATTTTTTTCTATTTTTTTTTAAATTGTCAAAAATTCCTTGTCAGTACCTCGAATATCATTCGCACTTACGAAATGTAAATAACTCCCTGATTTTGGGTAATTTTTCATTCTGAAGGTTGCAGTTGTTGCGAGGCAAGCTAAATAAAATTTGATTTAAAATTTATAATTTCAAACGAGTATCAAAAATATAATAAAAACAAACTTTGATTTAAAATTTATAATTTCTTGGGTTAAATTAATATTCGCGATGAGCAACTTTACATTATTTGCGTTAACAGAAAAGATTCACTTTCTGTACAAAGGCAATTAGCTGAAGAGTGTTGATTTTTTTCTGATAGAACCTCTCCTAATCTCCAGGGCGGCAGCTAAAATCTTTAGAATGTAGTTGTGTTGCTTACTTTTCATCCGGTTAAGATATGTATAAGTGTGACCAGTATTTGACACAGGAGCATGATGGATCCTTGTTCAACCACTGATTGAAGTTTTACGTGTAGTGTGAACAGCGTATCAAATAAGGAAGCTTATTCTTTCTGCCACCAATCCAGTTTTCATTCTTCATACTTCCTTTCATCCCATCTTCTGGTCCTGTTTGGCTTGACACAAACATAGAGCACCTCATTAATGCTTCTTGACGGTGAACCTCATCCACAACCAGCTTCCGCCACTCTGACGAGGTTGCTTTGTGCCATGAATGTTGTTCGTCACCCACACTAAGGCCACTCTTCTAATATTTCCTCTGTGGTAGATCGAAGATATGGCTTGAACATTTCTTTCTTGTTATTAGGGTTGGAGTTGCTGCCGGATAGCTGTGCCATTTAATTCTGCCGATGTCTTTTTCAGCCGCACATTTAAACTCTTCTATGAGATTAGACTAGTCATGGGCAACCTGCGGCCCGTGGGCCGCATGTGGCCCACGGGCCACATGCGGCTTGATTGCCATTCTGAATGCCACGCCTAATTTCTCAAGGAAACGTTAATAAAATGTTGTTTGTTTCTTTTCGTTTTCACTTGTTCACTGATGTATAGCTACATATATAAATAATGATTAAGTAAAACGCGTCTTGAATTTTATAACATTTTGTTGAAGGCAACTTTGCCAGCATTTTAAACCATTGGCAATTTTCACTAAGGAAGATTATAGGTGTAAACACCTTTTGCTTCCGAAACCAGAAACGTTAATCATAATTATTTTTCTCTAGATGTTTTTGCATCGTCAAATGAATAAATTAAAAACAAATCACACACAGTAGCGTGTGTTAATCATTCTGTCATCGGTGATAATATTATATCAGGATTTTTTTTTTCAATTATAGAAGGAATCTTTTCTCTAAAGAAGAAAAATCAACTTTTCTCCATTTTTAAGGTAGATGCATATGCGCATTCTCTTTTGTTGAGAAAATGGCTGCGGTATTTGAAAAAAAAAGTCTTTTAGTCGTGCGGCCCGCCTTATGATGAATTGTGCCTCGTGTGCCACACTGTTAGAAAAATGTTGCCCATACCTGAATTGGACAGTGTTAGCTCGAAAAACCCCGACCGTAAAGGCCCACGTTGCTCAGGCATCAATGAACACATAACCATTTTTTAACATAGGAACTGATGGTTTTCTTCATTTTTACCAGATTTGTGAGGGAGATGTAATACATGAGAGGGTGGGTAATAATAATAATAATAACTGCAGACACTATATTTCACCTTACCGTCCAGTAGAGCCCGGTCAAAGCAGCGCAGTCTTTCAGTACTTTCTTGTATGTTCCCTAATATCCTGTTGCTGTCCATTAACTTTGTGTCTATCATATCCTTAAGCTTTTTATTCATTTATCCAATATCACTGGGATGCATTCTTCATTAATGAAGATTTTTTTGTTCTTTCATTTTGCTTTAATAAAAGGCATGATTCTTGATTTTGATATATGAGAAGGAGAAATAAAAGAAGCAAAAGATGGAGGAAGAAAGAGAAGAAAAAAGGTGACAAGAGAAATTTTAAAATGAGAAGAAATATATGACGCGAAAGAAGAAGTATAATTGAAGAATAAGAACCATCAGTACAAAATAAGGTGAAGAACAAAAGAGGAGTGGGAGGAGGTTGAGAGAGAAGAATCAACAAAAAGTAGTAGTAGGAGTTGGTTGTTTGGTTGATTTTGTTTAGCGGCATGTCAACCACTGACGGCTTTTGGCAGCTACATCTTATAATTTCACGGTTGAAAGTGCTTGTTGTAACCGTAAGTCCTATGTTAATAGTTTCTTCTCCTACACTTCTCGTATGTGGAAACCTCTTCCGGGTTCTTGCTTTCCTGTCAACTAAAATCATCAAAAAATTAAATGCATCGTCAATCATCATTTTTGGCCTCCTTGAATCCTGTTCTTTTAGTGTCCTCTCCGTTTCTTTCACTCTCAGTAACCCCTTGCTTCTTGATGGTCTTGTTGCCTTGGCTGGAGTGAAAGGTTAAAAAATATATCCTATGTCATAAGCTTGACGCGGAAGAGATTTCTCCCAAGAGTGGATCTGCTTCTAAATTGTGTTTGATGTTGTATATATCGCAGCAAAGAATTAGACGAGATGTCTGTGGATATGGACAGCGGAACAAGAACAATCTAAACTCTTAGATTAATTAAAGGGAGAAATATATATATATATATATATATATATATATATATATATATATATATATATATATATATATATATATATATATATATAGGATTGGTGAATAAATTCCAATAGCCCAAAATACTATTCTGAAAAAAGAGTGCTCAATACATAGTAGAGCAAATATAATTTATTCGGAAATTCTAGCTTAAATATGTTACAAAATCAATACAAAAAGTAGTCATTTTGTTTCAACACTGGTATCTAATCAAGTGATAATACACCAGAAGTGTTGAAACAAAATAGCTATTTTTGTAGTGATTTTATAACATTTATGTTATAATTTTCGAATAAATTATATATAATATATATATATATATATATATATATATATATATATATATATATATATATATAAGTGGACATAGAAGTCAACACTTAGAGCCTCTAAGTGTTGACTTCTATGTTCACTTTATATTTACACACGCTCTATCTCTGATATCGAGCACTTTATCCCATAAATATAGCACACCCTTAAGACTATATTTCTTATATATATATATATATATATATATATATATATATATATATATATATATATATATAAGTATTTTTATTTATTTCGTTTGGTTCATAACAATCTTTATCAATTTCTGATCGCATAGTTTCTGAATATCTACATCTTTTGCTCAGTCTCTGTTCATCTTATAATGAAGGTATCATCAGAGAGATAATTGCATATTTCCCTCTAAATCCTGCAGTCATTGCTCAACAGGATTTTGAATGCTGATTTTCAAGCAATAGACTCATCCTAATGGGAAGATGAACACAGAACGACGTTTTTAGTCATACTATATTAAATACATTAATAAACGCTACAATTTTGCAATTGTTTAAATATTGATCGACTCAAAGGGAGAATAAGAATCAGCCAAGATCTTTTGCTTAGTAAATCGGTGACAATATATCTTCTGAACAGATTCACCTAAAATAGGTTTGACAGTTAAGAAATCTCTTTTTACTGGACAATTGTTTTTCACCATGGAGGAGGACATATTATAAAACAGTATAATTTGTGCTTTGTAGAATTTTTTTTAGTGTCGAAATTTAACATCTTGATATATCATTATTTTCTGCTTGTTTTGTTTGTTTAACGGCATAATAGTATGGGTCATTTAATTGGATTGCTACTAATTTCCATTTTTCAAAAATGTATTGCTGGGAATTTTTCTTTTACAGAAATGTATTGCTGGTACTATCTTAGTATTTTTTTTTAATGTAATAATAATATTTTTCCCCTCGCAAAAACGTACTGCTGGTAATTTTATTTACTATGAAAAATGTATTTTATATAAAAATGTATTTCTACACTTTCATAGAGTTTTGACACCAGACTGGGGGGGGGGTTAACTATTTTCCCGTAGTTGAGGCCCTAACAAGTGGTACCATTCCAGGTCAGGGTAAACCTGGGAACAACAGCAATTAAGAGGTGTTTCCATGCTCCTCAAAATCCCCCGATCAGAGGCCTTATTGCCGGATGTAATTTATCGTCATACACAGGACGATCATTATTTTATCTCTCAATTTTATGTGCTAGCCATCTTTATTGCTACGGTTGGAAGGGTTCAAGTGATGTGAATTTTGTCAATCATTAAAACTCTTCGTTTGTGATTTTGTTGCATCAGATCACAGGATTAACAGATTCTCATTCCTTCTTTTTTATTCTTTTGGTAAAGAGGAAGTTGCACTCGGAAAGTTTCTTCCCCAGAGGTTTCGCTTTGTGGAACATATTCCCAAATGGATGCATGCTTCCTCGATCACTACAATCTTGGGCTCTTCAATTCTATGGTCAACATATATATATACATACATATATATATATATATATATATATATATATATATATATATATATATATATATATATATATATATAATATGCGCCTCTTTCCCATTCTTCTTCCTTTGCGTTTTTACAACAATCTCATTCAGTAAGCCTATACTTTAAGTGTCTTTTGGCCTTGTATTGATGGGAAAATAATATTAAAAAGATTGCAAGGAAATTAAAAGCATTTTATATATATATATATATATATATATATATATATATATATATATATATATATTTTTCATAGATTCCATATCCTTTTTAACATCAAAATTTACAGAGATATTTGCATTATTTCTTTTTCCTTTTCATCGCATTTGTTTTTCTTCTTATTTCCTCTTTTTTTCCTTCCGGAGAAAGAGGGAAAATATTGTATTTTCCTCTTTCTCCTCCTCCTCCTCTTTCTTCTTCATAAGTCTTCCTTACATTATTATTTTCTTTCTTTCTTTCTTTCTTTCTTTCTTTCTTTCTTTCTTCTGTCTTTACATTATTGTTTGCCTCTTTCTCCTCCACCTCCTCTTTCTTATTTATTAGTCTTCTTTACATTGTTTTCATCCTTCTCCTCCTCCTCCTCCCTCTTTTTTCAGGTTTTCTTTACATTGTTTTCCTCCTTCAACTCTTCCTCCTTTTCATATTCTTGTTCAATTTTTTCTTGACTTTTTGTATCATTCGTCATTATTTTTCCGACTTCTATTTATTTTGATGTCTTTCTTTGCTCTTTTCCTTTTTTCTGTCCTCGATTTAAAATATTTTCCCTATTTCTTGTTTTTCTTCTCTTGATTCTCCTGTCTGCTTTTTATTTTCCTGCCATTCATCACAAGTTTCTTCATTCCTTTCACCATGGGAGACGGAATATTGCTGAAAATGGTTAATTTGAGTAAAACATGCAAAATTCATACCGTATATGTTTTAAAATGTAAATATATATGTTATGAAAGGTTAAAATATAAAAAAAGTGGTCAGAAATAAATTAAATATTTTTAAGGAAAATAGCATGATTAATATACAGAAAGTTCTGCTAATCCCTTTACCACTTCGTGTATGAATTCTCGAGTTATTCTTTTCTTATCCATTGTTCCATACAAGCATTAGCATTCTACTTTGACCGTCACTCATCCAAACACAGTGAAATCACTTGAATGCTAGATAACTTGAAAAATTTCACCATGAACGAACACAGGATCGATAAATGAACCATCATGTCTCAGTAAGTTCTGGACACCTACGAAATGCCTCTGAGCAAATAAGGTATCTACATCTTAACCTAGTTTAGAAACTTATATCCTTTATGCATGTAGTCTTGTAAAAAGTTGTCAACAACATATATATCATTTTGCCAAGATAGAAATATATGAGAGTTACGCGCCGATGGAGCTCTGAGGTTACTTAGATTTCAAACACTTGTATCTAATCAATCATACTGAGTGTAGTACGACCTAAAAACCACCAGCAATTATGGAAAACACAGATTATATGACCAGTTAACATGGGACACAAAATTGTGTGTCATGAACGATAGATTTTACTCTGCTTGCCTACGGGAGGGGCACAGTCGTTTTTAAAAAATTGTTGACCAAGTAAAGAGAAAAAAACTAATACATTAGTTACTTATTGATACCTAAAAATCTATCGTAAAGGATATAATTAAGGGAATTCTTATGAGTATAGAAACATAAGTAAAATGTTAATATGAAATGGTTTGTTCAAAATCATTGTAAGAGAGTCTGAAGAAGTAAAATGTTAGTAGACTGAAAAAGAAAGAAAGAAGAAGAAGAAGATAGAAAAAGAGGTAAAAGAGATATGGTATGGCGGGAAGTAGCAATATCTGTGAAACTAATCGGACAACTTAAATAGGATTATTCAAATATACATACATAGAGGGTTTTTTAATGCGAAAAGCAAATACTGAAATCATAGAAAAGAGAAAATAAACCGTTTGTTAGCTTTGTTAACTTAAAAAAAAAATGAAATTATTGACGCGCACACGCCACATACACACACACACACACATATATATATATATAATTGTGCAAATTATGAACGGAAAAATAAGGTGAACAGGATTACTGATAAGTAATCGATCATTGAAGAGATTTAGCATAAAATTCCTATCTCATATTGGTTTCCATTTCAAATTTTACGCAACAACAGATTATGTATGTATGTATGTATGTATGTATGTATGTATGTATGTATGTATGTACGTGTCTACCTATTTATCTATCTATTCGTATATTAATTATTGTTGACCTGACGACGCCGTCATTTTCCGCTTCAAAGTTCATTTCTTTTTTGCGTCGTCTTCTTAGTTTTGCTCGGTTTGAAATATAATCGAATCATAATGAAATTCTCCAATCAGTGAAGCGTTTCAAGCATCGATTATTGATTTTTCGGCTGATAACTAGCAACTTCCTCTCATTTTCGACAGTCTATATTTGCCTATACGTGGTGCTTCTGATGTTTTCGCACTTATATTTTGAGAGATAAATTGCACAAGTGAATGTCTATCCTGGCCTTGGGTATAGCTTATCTATTTTTTGTCCATTATTATCAGAACATTTGACTTGAGTACTCGTTACTGCAAAAGTATAAATATCTTAACAGACGACTTCAGTGCATTGTAAATTGTAATAGTTTCAGCGCCAGTTATTTTTTGTCAATAATTGTCAAATCAAGTGTTCAGAATTTATTTTGTAGATAATATAATTGGTGTTTGTTCATAAACTTTTAGATTGGTTAACTTCGGGCATTTTTATTGAATTTCTTGAATTTCAGGGGTTTTTTTTTTCACTTTTTTCTCGACATTTACAAAACATTATATGAGGATACAATATGAAGAAAAAATTAGAATTTAATAAAAAAAAATAACGAGTTATCGAGGTTTTGTTGTTATGTAACTAATAAACAGAATGCAGGAACTTTTTTGCTTTTTCATGTTAAAACTTTTTTCTTCTCAACATCTGAAGAGTTTCGCGGTTATTTCAGTGAAATCTTTGTAGAACATGTTGTCAGTGAACTAATATTGGTAAACTAGGTATGGCATCAAACAACAAAGAACATTTTAATTTTAATGTTTTACCTGCAAATTGAGTATTATTTTGTGTCTGTGCGCCAGTAGCTAAATTACTGAAAAATATCTTCGTTGTTTAGTAATATAATCTCTTATAATGTAAATGACGCAAAGCCAAATACAGTTGACACACCGAATATTGCTTTCGTCAAAATGCAAACAGAAATACTACACACGTCATACGGTAGAGACAAAGTTTATTCCAAACCTATGTGTGGGATCAAATGGTCTGTAGGAAACTGTTTATTGATACCTTAGTCGTGATCACTGGGGCGGGGGGGGTGCGTGATTTTGAGTCTAGTGGACTTAAATGAACGGGAATGACTCATTGTGATTGGTAGTAATTCGAATGAGGGTAAATTATTCATATTTATTTTTTAATTAATTATTTATATAATTGGAATTGTTAAAATTTTATACTGTGTTAAGCCGACAATATTCAAGCTTTGATTCAATATTTAGATCTTTAAAGAGGTTTAGTTTCTTAAAAAAAAAAGATTTATTTTAGAAGAAACATGCATCTTTACTTCTCCTGATAAATAAAGAAATGTTTCATCGTCTTGATTGAAAGATTTTACATTCAAGCTAAACTTCGTAGTTGGTTCCGTGATTTTCTCAATCTATAAGAAATTTCGATGGGATGATGAGGAGAAAATAGAAAAAAAACATTCTGAGCAATTTATAAAATGTATTCATATGTTAATGCTGTAAAACTTTCACTGTGTAATATTTGTATGTATGAAAATGAATTGCTCTTTTAATAGGCGCCAGTTTACGTTCTTTTGATATCAGGTGGGCTTACAGCCTATTTTGTGATATCGATATTTATATAAACTAGTGTGATGTGTATAATTTATTGTAGATCACGAAAACAGCGTCCTTTCTATTTCTTTTCGAATTATATTTCATTTTGTTACATTTTTTACATCTGGCTGTTGCATAAATATAAAAATATAAAGTAACAATATGTTTATATTAAAATTCTAGTTAATCATTTATAATTATAATGTATAATGTATAGTTATATATTTATAAGTTAAAAATATATTTGCTAAACAGATTTTAAAGAAAAATTATACTTCGAGCTTGCCAGGATTCGAACCTGGAATCTTCTGATCCGTAGTCAGACGCGTTATCCATTGCGCCACAAGCCCTACTTGTTCAAGCAGCACTATTCACACAATTTAAACACTTGTTTTTATTTATTCGCCTTTTTTCTACTTTTATTTTCGCTTTGAATGGAAGGGACAGGCAGGTGGTAAGTAAGCAAGTTGTATTACGACCTTTCATCAAAGTTGTGCGGTTGACACATGATCTCCAGGTAAATACATGCCAAAATCAGACTTGTAACGAGAATAGTGGTAGTCATGATCCGAAGCTCTATGATTTAATAAAATTTGCGTCCTAAGAAAACAGTGATCTCAATGTCCGTTAAATAAATAAATAAAAAATTTAAAAAAAAATAGAAGAGTAAATTTAAGCTTTAGTTTAAAATCGCTGAAAAACCCGAAAATAGGACAGCTGCTAACATATTAGGGAAACTTATTTAAACTGGATTTTCTTCAAATGCAAATGACATATAAATTAAGAGCGAATTGCTAGTTTTTTCTTCATAGCTCAAGCAAATTCTCAAATTAATTTCAATTTAAACTTTAAAGTAACATTCGTTACGATTCGCATTCTCATCTTCTATCTGAAAATATTTCTGAAATTTAAACTCTGCATATTTTCCATATTTGGGGGATTGCCTTCCTTTTTTATTAAATTTAAACGAATATGCGTATTTTAAAAACAGATTTAGATGCGTTGACGGTATCAGCCACAAATCGCTAACTATTGGCTTCATCTCGCTTCCCACAGCTCGAAAGAGTCAGCTATGGCATCTCTGCTCGACTACAGCAAAGCTTAGTAGTTATATGTTCAGTATATCTGTATTTTCCTTATGATTATTGCCATGGAACCGATATATAAAATGGTTATAATTTAAATTGGCAGCGGACCGAAATGTGGTACTCGTGAGTTTAGAAATTAATAATAAGATGCGACATTCATGGTTTCAACTAGATGGAAGGTTATTGTTTAACAAATAAAAAATATGTGTACACAAGTGTAGATAGATAAGTCTGTAGCCTGACACGTTGTTATAAACTGAATTTTGGCCTGACATTTTTATTTCGTAATCTTTGACTATGATTAATATTCACCACGGAATTATGTTAAAAAGAAATATGTGTTGGGTAAATTTTTCTTTTCGTTATAAATATGGAGAAGGTTTTGTAGAGCGGACAACACCTTTTTCCTATAAACTTACTTGTATCCGTTTGGCGCTGTAACAAAAAAACATTTTGAGCAGTAATATATGTCTTCCTCTAAGTGTCATCCACAGCGGCATCAACTTGATTTAATAAATCGAGCACTACCGAAGCCAATAAACTGTAGACCATTTGTACACTCTGGTCCTCTCTGCCTGGAGAAAGTGGCAGGTGGTGAGATTACAGTTAAAGTAGGATTCATTCAGCTATCTAAAATCTTTTCATTATTTGGCTTCCATTTATATACGTGCTGTTTC